CAGCCCCACCCACTCAGCCCAGCCAGAATTCAAATGGACGGGTGGCTTGAAAGCCTGCCAACCCAAGCAGGCAGCCCAGGAATTCCGCAACTGCTGGCTTTGTGCATGTGAAAACTGGCTGCATGCACTTTCTTGCCCCAAAGCTATGGGCTTGTACCTCCTTAGCTGTGCTTTTAAGAGCAGTTTAGTGGTTGAAAAGCTCTCCATGCCAGTGGTAATAACGGAAGCGGGCTGCAGGTCTTTGCTGTGTTAAAAATAAGCAAGGGTGTTCCTATTTTCATTTATGAAATGCTGGTGGGCATGGTTGGTATTGTTGACTAGTTGTGTTCGTAGGCATCACAGTGGTTGTGTTTCTCATGTCTTTTTGACTGTTTGCAAAATAGCTCAGTGGGCTGATGTACATGGAGCACATTGACCAATTCTATAATGTTGAAGAATCTGCACTCCTGTCTTTATACATCCTCAAGTGGAACCATAGACGCATACTTGTTTTTTGTTAAGTTACGGTGGACTTGGCCATGCAAGGACATACTAGCTTCGTACCAAAGTGTTCAATGATTTGTTAGTGTCTTGAGGACATAATTTTGCCATTAAAGCATTATCTCAAAAGGGATTAAGCCTGGATCCTTGTTATGTTAATATACACTATAAAGTAAAAGAAAAACAAAAAATTGTCTTAAATTCAAATTGCCATTCCTGCTCTACCAAATCGCTATCATTTATACTTTTTGTTTAGGCTCAGTAGAATGTTATGTTCTTCCTTCATCATAACACTTGGTAATTTAAAAAGTAAATGGAAATAAATTAGGTGATAAATATTTTTCATTAATAACAGTAGATTTTTTTAAAAGAATCTTGTCTTTTTGGTTACACCATAGAACTTGTCTTCAGCAGTGTGTTCATTTGAATCATCCAATTTTTCTGCTGTGTGGACCTCAGACAAAACAGATCAAATTCGCTGTAACATCTGACATATAGATGACAAGATTTGTAATCAAACTGTGGATGTTTCCTTTTTAAAAACATGCACACACCTCTACATATCCTAAAGGAAATTCGGGTTGCTTTTTTGTCTCCTTTTGCTAAAAAAAAAGAAAGAAAATTTTGAAGGTTTTGTTGAAAGAGTAGGATTGCTTTGTTTCTGATCCCAAGATGAGTGAAAGAAATGTTGGGAAAGATCACTTTACAGTGAGATTCATACTGAAATGTGATGACTGTGATTCAAGCCAAGCCAAAAATTACAGCTCAGAATTAGAAGGGATAGACATGGCTTGGGAATCCATTTTCCCACATTCCTGAATCTCAATCATCCCAGCTAATGTTTAAAAGAAAATAGAGTGGGAAACAATGAGGTCATTTTGTTTGGCTGCAAAAATTGGGGAGTGGGGGTAGAGAAGAGAAATAAAAACCCAAGAAACAAACTCCCCTAACTATAAAACATAGCACATATCTTTATCAGGGGCAACTGCTCATTTATAGTGAAAACGCCTCAAGAATGATGGCACTTTCATGGCATAATCTTACATTTTTTAAAAAGCTTCAAAGTGTATGTTTTGTATTTTGTCACAATAAACCTTCAATAGAAGTCTTGCTGACACCACTATTGCTAATGTTCTTTTTGATTCAACTGAAAACTCGCTTTGCGGAAGCAGTGGTACATAGCAGAAGTTAAATTAAGACCTAGGCAAAGTTGATTTGTATATTTTAAGTGTAAGTCTGCATGCTGATGAGCAGTGTACTGTTTAAATTCTACTTTCTGGATGGCCGTCCTTATTCCTTGTTCACTGATAGCTAAGCAAACATTCAGACATCAAGCAGTGTGGAGAGGATCAAAGAAATTTACGTGACTTATCTGTACACCGAGGATCAAAATATAGCTATTCAAGCTACAAGATTAGGGACAGCCTTATTTAAAAGGAATAGGGTCTGTAACAACTCTATATTCTTACTAGCTGAAAGTGCACGGCAATGCTCAGGAATTTTCAGAAACTAAAAACTGCTGAGTCCCGCCACTTGATCCAGGGCCCTGACCAGACCTGGGGAACACCTGACCCAGATCCAGTCCTGAATCAATCATGGGGTGAGACTGCTGTTTAATTGGAGCTTTTAAAGCCCTGTGTGGTCAGGAAGAGGTATGAGAAGGAGGTGCTTCATCTGCTTCCCCTCCTCTTCTCAAATGCACTGCAGAGAGCAGGAAGATTAAATCCTATTGGGCGCTACTTCACCAATGGGTTCCCTGCTGGCACACACAGTGGGTTCTGCCCAACGGGGGGGGGGTGTGCGCGCCATCGTACACATGTGATGTCATGTGCACAGCAGGAGGAGGCCCAATGGGCTTAGTAGAATGTTATGTTCTTCCTTCATCATAACACTTGTTAATTTATATTACACTTCCTGCAATATAACCCATAATCCACTGCAGCAGGTATGGGTTCCACATGAGGCATGTAGAAGTGTTTCAGCAGAAGTGTCTCGATTAAAGTGGAAATGTTTAAATCTATAAGGTGTGAAAACTGTGACCCAAACCCAACAACATTTTTAAAAGAAATTGCTTTACACACAGACATTCTGAAAAGAAAAGAAAATTAATTCCTATCCTTGATATAAGCCGGAAAGCTTATAAGATTTATGGTGGGAATGAGCTACAACAGCTGCATTTTCCTTGACTGAGTTTCTGAACACCGTTTGTATTACGATTCCTGGTTTTGTGTCCATCCTATTCTAAGCTCCTTAAAACAGAACAGGGAGGGAGAAATATTGATATTCTCTTGGGGGAAGCCAATGATCTGTCTCAATGATAAACACCATTTTGAAACATAAGACGGTCAGCATATACTAAACTAGGAGTCAGATTTTATTGCAGTGACTATGCGTTATTCCAGAATGTTCTTTGCCACTAAAAGTTAATGCTATCCCCAAATAAAATGTTAAAAACCTTTGAAAATACATTTGTTTTATCTCTCTCTCTCCCGCTCTCCCCACTACCCCGACAAGCATTTGAAACCTACCATGAAGAAATACTGACAGTAGAATGAGGATGTTTTTGTTCTTGATAAAGGTGCTCTTAGAAGTTGAAGTTGTTTTCTTTGAAAACTGTTCAGAAGCTCAGAACAGAATAATGTTAAAGGCAGAACATCTTTTTTTTTTAATGCACACACACACACACACACACACACACACACTTGGCCTAAATGTATTTCCAAAATAAGTAGTTTCTAATCCAGCTGGGATAATGTGGTCATAAAAAGGATGTCCAAATCCACCAATTTATATTGGTTTGGTTTGGCTTGACTTTCAAAGTATTTAAAGAAGAAAGTCTATGGCATGTGTGCACTGTAATTGGTGTATAGTACTCTCAACATTTTCCTCAGTCTGCCATATTGTGGAGTGCCCAAATAAAACGCTAATTGGCTGTACTTTCACTCATGTCTTCAAGATTGCTCTTCAAGATACACTATCCTTCAGATTAGTATAGTTTCTCATATTCAATTTATTAACAGTACCAAGGTTTATGGAGAGCTGCTAATTTTAGACTTTCATTAACCCTTAGCCATACTGAATGTCTCCAGATGCATTCATTTAACCACATTGTCTAGAGTAGATCCAGTCAAATAGTTAGATCACTCTGCAGTCAATAATCTGAGGAGTTTGTAGTTTGGGGCCATGTATGTACTGTAAATGAAGTGTGGTGTAGTGGTTAAGAGTCTCGTAATCTGGGAAACCGGGTTCGCGTCTCCGCTCCTCCACATGCAGCTGCTGGGTGACCTTGGGCCAGTCACACTTCTCTGAAGTCTCTCAGCCCCACTCACCTCACAGAGTGTTTGTTGTGGGGGAGGAAGGGAAAGGAGAATGTTAGCCGCTTTGAGACACCTTAAAGGGAGTGAAAGGCGGGATATCAAATCCAAACTCTTCTTCTCTTCCCTCCCCAAAGCAAATTGCCACTTTATAATTTAAGTGAAATTAAAGAATGCATTGGCACAGGGCTGAGGTTAAAGTTAAGGAAGTTCACTGTTTAACTAGGATTGGAACCAAGTGAAAAGTTGGCTGATGAGTTTTGATTTAGAACCTGGTTAGCATTCAACATAGTTAAAGTCAGTGCTTACTGGTGTATCCCCTGACTGATCATAGTTCAACTGAGGAAGTTTCCTCTGGGAAGAGATTGTAGGGAAGGATCACATGATCATTTGCCTGCTTCTAATTTCTTAATGTACCTAAGAGATACAGGAGTATTGTTTCTGTATAGCCCTTAAAGTTTGCCATAAATTGTACAGCAAAATCCCAAAGCAGAGCTGCAACTGTGCTGGAATCTGTACATAGAGCTTCTCTAACTCCATCGTTCAGTGGAGATGAAATTCCACACATGATTGGGGGGTTTTCTTATTTTGCCCAGTGTTGTTGAGCACTTTTTTTTGGAAAACAACAAAAAAAAAAACACAAAACATTTTTGAGCTATTTTTATGGAAATCTGCCAAAAGCTAGACTTCCAACATGGGATTATGGGATTTTCCTGGACATTTCAGTGATTCCTGCCTGGACACTGTTTCCAACTGCTGTATTCCGGATGTATGGCAGCCATTTTTACATGTAAATAGCTCCCAAACCGGCTTTTTAAAAAAGTTATTTTGTCCATAAAGCTCAACAGCTTTTCTGTCCGGATTTTCACTGTTTGAAATATGGCAACCCTAATACAAGGAACTTCTCTTCTGTTTATTTGAATGTGGAAGTTTTCATAGAAATGGAATGGGAGCTATGTGTATATCAGTAATCCACTCACCTTCAGGCAAATACTGATTTAGATGGGGGGGGGGGACTTTTCACCTTGAAAGGCAAATAAAACAGAACAAGAACTTTGTGTGACTCTGTTTCATCAACAGAATGTTTATCAAATAGTTTACTGAAGTAAAATTTTCTCTATAGTTTAGGACATTTATATTTTCTTGACAGACATCTTAAGTATAATACTCGCACAAGCCAATATGAAATATGTTTTCCCTTTTCAGGTCTGGATGTTGATGGAATATACAGAGTCAGCGGCAATCTGGCAACGATACAGAAGTTGCGATTTGTTGTCAATCATGGTAAGTGATTCCTTCACCCTGGTAATGTTTTGTTTAGTACTTATCTGTCTGAAATGACAATACAATGGATTTTAGAAGCCGTGGTACATTAGTGGCAGAGAATGAAGAGTGGCATTTTGCAGAAGAGAAGTGTACAGAGATACTGCAAACAACCAAAATATGGGTTGGAAGAGAGAAGGGGAAGAGCAACAGTCATGCTGTAAAAGAAAATAAGCCAGTAAAAGTATTGGGGGTGGGGGGGAAGAGAGACAACAAAAGGAGTGAGGAATTAAAATGTGACACCAAATTTATGCTAAAAATCTATGCTAAAATATTAGACATAAACAAAGAGAAGGCCTACAAGTCTAAAGAGATATGGAATAAGAAAATGAAATAGAAGAAAAACAAAGACACTTGGGAATGATGCCACAGGAAGGGAAAGAGTAATAGTAAAAAATGTGCACTGATTCACATCAACAATTTAATGATTCTCTGCAATACTACAAAAATAAGTCTAAAATTATGCAATAGGTACAAAAGCCAACATTAGATTACCCAGAAAGGTGCATTATTTGACTCATGAGAGCAGCAAATAAACAGACTGTACAATGGTGATGGGATAAAATCAGGCTAAATCCTTATGGACAGCAGCAGGCAAGGGTTGGCATGGCGCTGGGGCCAAGATCACATCAGCATTCCACAAACCCCATGTCGATGGAATGGGTCTGTCATGTTTGGACTGCCCCAAATCCATTCTATTGGGGTCATCCATTGTTGAACCTTGCCTGGCGGCAAGCCAAACAAGCAAGGTCTTACTGGGCAACCAGGGTGCAGATACCTACTAGGCAGGTACCCCAACACCAAACTTGGGGTGCTATGGTCAGTCTTCTCCTCAGGCCCCTTATGTGGGCTCCCCATACTATGTTGATCGTGCCCAATGCTATTTCCACCCTCAAAAAAACAACCTTATTCCGTCTAACAAAGGAAGGCCATAATTTCACTGAGGGAATGGTGGAGAAAACCCAACCAAGTACCAATCAGGTTGAGGAAAAAAATCCTGGCTGTGTCAACCAGAGACCCAAAACTGCTCAGTGAAGGTTCTAACCTGAGGTTGGGTAGGAAGCTCTCCAGGCGGAATGGCCCTGAGCTCCAGGGGAAGCAGCCTTATGTTGGTTTTCCCCATCCCCTTGCAAGGGTTCATGGGACAGCTCTTTCTCATGAGCCCATCACACAGACAAGATACTGGGCAAACCCTTGCCCAGTACTTTGCTGCATTCTTGGACTCCAGCACCACTGGGAAAAGGCGTATCGGCATAGAGCAAGACAAATGAACAAACCCACCCAAAAGCTTTAATGCTGTTGATGTGTTGTATTCCTTCCAGATTGTCATATATTCCAGATTGTTATATAAAATGTGTGTACGTATTAGAAATGTGTTAATACTGAGGTTCTGAAAAATGTCCATGGTCATTTCACCTTTAAAAAGAGAGCATATTGAGCTATAAAGCTTTAATAGTTCAGGACCCCAATATCTTCTGGAACTCCTCTCCCAATATGAATCCGTCCAGACTTAGATCTTCTGAGGCTCTTATCCAGGAACCCCCTCTGAGGAAGGCTTGTAGGGTGATGACAAGAGAGAGGGCCTTTTCAGTTGTGGCTTCCCATCTGTGGCATAATCTCTGCAGTGAGGTCCACCTGGCAACTATGCTGACATCTTTTTGATGCCAGGTAAAGAGTTACTTTTTTCCAAGGCTTCTGATGGCCTTAGTAAATGAGGAGTGTTGACTACTGGGACATTTGTTCTTCTAGGCATTTGTAATCACGTATAAAATTTTATATTCCTGAAACTGTTTTTGTTTTTAACTTAACATTTACTTTTATATGCAAAATATTGTAGAAGAGTCTTATATTATTATTGATTGTTGCTATTTTCTTTCTGGTATTTTAGTTAGGTGTTCTGTGTTCTTTCTTGCTCTGTGACTTGTCCTAATTTTGAGATTGATATACATATGGCACATTTATTTCTAAAGAATAGCCTCAAATTATGAATACAACCATAAGACATTTAAAATTAGCGGGGGGAAATCCCAGAAAGGATCAAATTCTTCCCCAATGTAACTCCATTGAAGTCTCCTCAAAACATTTCTGTGAACTTGTCATCAAATGTATGCAAAGGATTTCATCACTTTGAGTTTGATTGAATTACACCAGGGATGAACTAAGTCCTACATCTCTGTATGAAACTGAATTGCCAAATCCATCCCAAGCCACCAAGTCAGTAAAGTCATTCAACTTAAAAATAAAAAGTCAAAGCTCTTATTTCACCATGCAAGCTCTAGACAGACTGCACTTCTTCCTGTTCCCAGAAGTACTGTCTCAGATGTTCATTCTCTGCTCTCATTTCTGCTTTAAAGAACTGTGGAAGAGACCAAGCTGCTTGATCAGTCATCCATTGATGTACACTTGCCATCACCTTCTTTCCTCATGCAAGTCCGGCAATTTGGTGTACAACTAACTAATTTTCAGGGTGGCTTGCAAATACTGCCTTTTGGTCCTGTGTTGGTGTTATTGCGTAGGACGTACGTTGGTGCCCCTGGCAGATGGCCATGAACAAGTGTGTGATGCAGCAGGTCAAAAATTTGCTGCGACATGAGAAAATGAGAGGTTGCACTTGTGATCTTTCCAAGGTGAGGACCCGCTAGAGTTGTTCAAAAAGAACAGCTGTCAGAGGAGACAATCCCCAATAAACCAAGTCTCTTGTTTCCTAATCTATGCAGAGAATGTGAATCAATAACTCTATATACTTTATTTATATACAGTGGTACCTCGGGTTACATATGCTTCAGGTTGCATACGCTTCAGGTTACAGACTCTGCTAACCCAGAATATTACCTTGGGTTAATAACTTTGCTTCAGGATGAGAACAGAAATCATGCAGCAGCGGCGCAGCAGCAGCAGGAGGCCCTATTAGCTAAAGTGGTGCTTCAAGTTAAGAACAGTTTCAGGTTAAGAACGGACCTCCAGAACAAATTAAGTTCTTAACCCAAGGTACCACTGTATTGAGGCTTACAAATGCGACAAGATAAATAGTTCTTGAGCAAATGATTTTAGAAAAAAAAGACACTAACTTTACAATTTGAGTAGTTAGCCGTACGAACAAATAAGAAATAAACAGAGATAAATACATCCAGTTGTACCTATTTGTAATATGCAGTAGATTTGAGGAAGTCTTTCGGAAAAACAGAGTACTGCAGCGGGTTTCTCGGCTTGTCGAAGGCAAAGCCGAATCTGTACTTGAGGCAACTCAAGTCAAAGTGGGGGCCCACCGTCCCAAGTGCCTTGTGGCACCTCTGTGATTTGGACACCATGAAGTGCTGCAGAAAAATGTGAGCAAAAGGGAAACAAACGTTTCGAAACCTACCATAAAAAGAGAATGCCATCTTAGCCATCATCGCAGCTAAGATGAGGAATCATGATGAGAAATAGGTGAGGGAAGAGTGGGAATACTTTGGAGAATATTTAAAGAGGTACAAAAACCAGATAAATTTCCAAGTAGGGATAGATATGTGAGCAGCAGTAAATAACACTTCGGATATGGTATAGAATCAAAATGGGTGGTATAGATGGATATGCAGCATAACTGGGACCAAGGTGTAGAAAACCATGGAGGGGTAGACAGGCAAGTCTGGAGAAATGAGACGAATGAAGTGAATTGAAAGATGTATGTATTAAATTTTGGAAAATGCACAAATAAAGTATTTTAAAAAGAGAGTGAGAAAATTCCAGTTGAAGGGGTGACACATCAAACACCAGGGGTGGAGAGATGGAATAGAGAGAGCTCAGTTTTGATGGTCAAGAAAAGTTTGTAACTAAAGGAAAAGCCTTGCCCTACACATTCCAATCCCAGGTTTTGGACAAGGTGTGTTGACAGAAATATAATAACCCCTTTCCCACCTCCGCCCCTAAATCTGCTCTGACAGAATTGGGGGAACACCTAGGTTTAGCAGGTGCATGGGTGAGAGTCTCATTGCACATGCGGAGCTCGTTCTGCAAGCACACACCCCACGTAGTGCTACATAGTGCTAAACCTCTTGTTTTTTTACCTTCATTTTCTTGCCAAAAATCTATTAATGCTTAAAATTTATATCTGTTCTGATAAATTAGCAAAAGAATCACCAAACAACACGCAGAAGCTACAGCCCCATATTACTGTTTCATACACTAGCAATGCTAGCTTAGTTTTGGCCAAACTTCTGGTTCTGAGCTAGGCCTATGGAAAAGGCATGAAGAACCTGCTAATGCTGGCAGGTTTTTCCGTTGTAGCTGTAGCTCAGAAGCTTGATATGCACATGGCATCAAAAGTAGAGGACATGGCTTATTACCTCTTTTGCAAAACTAAGAGCCTCTGCAAAGGTGGGTTTATGGTGGCTACTGGCAATAATGAGATGCACGTATTATTATTAATACTGCTTTTTCATTTTTAAAATAATTTTATTTGATCTGGCGATTTCCCCCCATTGTACTTAAGAAGGGAAACTTCTGATTTTAAAAATATTTTAATATTTATTTTGTATATAACTTTTTTTCAGCATAATTTTGTTGCTTCTGTTAATATTATTCAGCAATAAGCATTAGCCAACCCTGCATGAAAAAATCCATTTAAAATGCCCCAAATTGAACAGACTATCAATCCTTGCATGAGCAAAGTACTTGATTGTTCATTTCTACACTGCCATTTGGCCACGTATGATTCTTTCATTGAAACCCCTGCTCTGTGAAGTGCAAAACAGACATAAATTTAGACCGTTTTTATTTCATTGCAACTGGAATCTTGAACCACAAAACATTGCAGGAAAGCTTGAGAATGCCAAGTGTACTGTAAGTTTTTTTGTGGGTTTTTTTAAGAGAAAGAGAGAATGAGCCTCAGACCTAAGCATTATCAGTATCCCCTATCTTTATGTTGTGAACATAATCAGTATGATCAGAAAATGAATAAAAGGCAACCGGGGAATGATGAGGGG